CAGTGACCCCAGCCCCACTCACCATCCAAAAAAATGGCTCTCTAAATGGATGCTTCCCCAGATTCTAATATCCATATCACTCACAAAGTTTTGCTGACATTTACATAAAAATGCATGAAATGTCAGAATTCAACATTTGTTGCAGAATCATATAGGGTGAAAGGGCCAGAGAAATTATCTAGTGTGTGTGCACGCACGCACACACACACACACACACACACACACATACACACACACCACTTATTATGAAGAGAATATTTAAATCTGCAGCTTAAAATCATGTCCATTTAAATATATCAGTAATTCTATCTATTTTCATTTACCTTTCTGGAAATATCTGCCTATGAGGCAATGTCCACCTTTCAAGTGTACAACATATCTATGACTTTGAAAAATCAAATTACCAATGGTATCAGCCCACCTGGATACATATGTCATGATTTTGAAGGAAGATACATATACTCATCATTTTTGCATGAAAATGAAGAAAACCACAGCAAGATCAGTTAGAAGAATTCTCAGGCAAAGTTAGCTAAACTATTGTCACTACCTACCTGTGAAGTCATCCCCAGCTTGGCCCTGGCCCTAAAGACAGTTCATCTGTTTATCTCTAATTTCTTCTGGTTACATTAACCACCAATCGACCCTCACTTGATTTGTCCTTGGAACTGAAGTTCATTAATGTTGTTTGCCGGGGCTCTTTCTTCTCACCTTGAATTCCCAGACCTTGGCTTTCTATATATATATAGTCCTTCATCATGCTTTTATTATTATTTTTTTTACTAGTTAAGGTATTACAAATGTGTCCCCACCCCTCCATTAACCCTAAACCTCTCCCCCCGCCCCGCCCACTCACGATCCCATCCCCCTGTTGTCCATGTCCATTGGCTTGGCTTATATACATGTATACAAGTCCTTCGGTTGATCTCTTCCCCTTACCCCCACCTGCCCCTACTTTCCTTCTGGGGATTGATAGCCTGATCGCTGTTTCTCAGTCTTTGGATCTGTCCCTTTTCATCAGTCTATGTTGTTCTCTATAATCCACAAATGAGTGAGATCATGTGGTATTTATCTTTCTCTGACTGGCTTATTTCACTTAGCATAATGCTCTCCAGTTCCATCCATGCTGTTGCAAAAGGCAAGAGTTCCTTTTTTTTTTTTTTTACTGCAGCATAGTATTCCATTGTGTAGATGTACCACAGTTTTCTAATCCACTCATCTGCTGATGGGCACTTAGGCTGTTTCCAAATCTTAGCTATGGTGAATTGTGCTGCTATGAACATAGGGGTGCATATATCCTTTCTGATTGGCGTTTCCCAGACCTTGGCTTTTTACTGCTTTAAAATTTTACTTCATTTTACTGCTTTAAAAATGTCTGGCCTGCTGCTCTCTGACCTTCCAGGCTCCAGGAAGACTTTTAGAACCTGAAAGAACCTCCTTTGCTGAATTTCAACCATTCTAGTCCTGTTTGGGGGCCTACCTAATAGTATTATATCCTTTGTTCTGCCTAGACCTGCTTTCTTTGCTCATTTCTCCCAGTAGTTACAATTGGTAACTCCCTGTTTTATCTAACCAAAGAAAAGTTCTACTTAAATGAAAGCTTCCAAATATGATAGCACCTCAAAATAAAACCAAATATTTTTACCCAACAGCTTTCAAAGCTTTTAAAACTAAATGAAAAGGTGGATGTTTGGAGTATAAAGGCATAAGTCTCAACAGAAGCACAAGACCAGAGAGGGAGGTGATAGGAACATCGGAAAGGCGCTGCACCAGGAGTCTGAGGTGTGAGTTCCTACACTTCTCTCCATCTGGCCATTGCTTGTGTTCTTCTCTGTGCTCTTGGGGAAATTATTTTTATCTATAATATTTTTGGAGACACATGTGCTGGGAATTCTTCTACGCACTGGCCTGCAGTATGGAGCACAATGGATATGGTCCCTTCCTTCACAGAGCTTACTATCATCCCAAAACTGGAAGCCACTACTCAGGATGCCTTGGAGGAGCTTCTCCAGGAACCTATGACCAAGACAAACGCAGATGCTGTCTTCTACCACCTCTAGCCCAGGGGGATCCCTCCTCATTTATTTTGGAGGAACCTGGATAATCTCTTGGACTTTCATTCTGATCTGATCTAAAAATGCAGCAGTGTCCTGTATCTGGACACCCACAATGTAAACAGATCTGAAGTCTCTAGCTCCTTTACCCCAAATACACTTTCCCAGTCCAGCACCAACTACTGCTAATTTTGTCTCCTAAGGAAATCTCAAGTGCCTCTACTTCTCGTCACCTTCAGTGCAATCATCTGTTCAAGCTTCCGTCATCTCTTATCTCAACGTAGCATATTCATCCCTGCGTACCTTCAGTGATCTTCCCTCACAGTCAGAATTGTTCAAAATTGAAATCTGATCGTTCTACTCTTCTCCTCGCCACCACTTTCTGAAACCCTCCAATGTGTTCCCATTGCACTTTGGCTGAAGACTAAAATGCATAATATGCACTACATTGCCCTGGCACTCCTCACGAACCTCATTTTAGGCTGCTGTCCTCATTTTGCCACCTCAGGGTCTGTGCCCATGATCCTCCCTGGAATGTTCCAATTTTACCTGCTTGTCTAGTTTCCTCCTCCTACAGATCTCATCTTCTTCCTTGGAGAAGCCCATACAATTCCAAATTCTGATCACCACCTTTTCATCCCAGCTAGGTTCCCATCTTATCCATTCCACTGTGTCCTGTAATTTACACTTACCAACTCTGTAATTATTTGTGTGGTTAGTTAGTTTATATTAGTCTCCCGTATCAGATGTTAAGTTCCACAAAATCAGGAACCATGGTGTTTGCTTATTTTTGTATTCTCTTTCATAGTATATTTGGCACATAGACCCGTGTCCAATAAATATTTGTTGAATGCATTCAGAAATCAGCATCTATCAGCCTTTCTGACGAAGGTGCAATCTATCACTTAAGGTCAAGCTTGCCACATTCATTAGTTGTGCCATCAATGTGTCAGTTCATTTTAAATCCTGTAGCTTCCTCAAGCCTTTGAGTGCTTCTACAGGGACTCCTTACCTATGGTTCCTCAGAGACTATTCAGTGTTGCCATAGTGATTTCTCATGACCTGCTAGTCCAGAAACACTGTGGCGGAGCCTCCCTCCATGGTGAGCCGTCTGGGACCCAGTGGTCACAGAACAAAAAGCTTCAGGGATCATTTTATCCATTTCTCTGTCTGTGAACAGGACATGGCCAAGCCATCCAGGCCGAAGAAAATCTCTTCAATTTAAAGTCTCCCCAGAAACTCCATAACTTCTTTGGCAACCCAGCCCATATTTAATGAGGAGAACTTGTAAGAAAAGTGATCAATTTGGGATCTTTTCCATACTATTAATCTCAATGATTCTCAAGAGCATGAGAGATTATAGTCTCATCGGTAGAGGAAATAGCTAAATATTCTCAAAATGAAAAGCTTTTTAATATCTATAAATCAAGTGAGACAACTTAAATGCAGCCACAATTTATGAGGATGAGGGAGGGGAGAAGGGAGGAAGGAAGGGAAGGAAGGTAAAATTAGACAGTGGGTTTTAAAAGCCAAAATGCTTTCTTAAACTTCATTCCGGATGTGGAGCCATCCTAAAGGAACAACTCTGAAATTCTGAGTGTTGAAAGCATAAGGCAAGCCTCCTGGCCAGTGACCCCCCGTCAGCTTCTGCATGCTCTTGGACCTTTGAGAAAAATGATAACCAGGGTATATAGACACTTCTCATTTTCCTGCTCACTTTCCACCTCCTGCTGCTAACACCCTTTTAACAAATAGGGCATTTCTTCATGAGCAGAAATGTAAACAGCTATCTCCACACTTTACAAATTGCAACGTATATTCTGAATGAAATAAATAAAAGTGTCTGGTCAGAAAACTCTCTAAGCACTCAAGTCTTCCTTGGGAATCCCTGCTCCCACCGGCCACTTCACCTCCAAAGTGGACTGGAATCTGACCTGAGTTCTGTCCTTCACAGGAGCACTTGTTGTCATTGATTTAAATAAAGACACAATGGCAGGTTTGTAAACCCACCAGGGGAATACATGAGGGGATAGAATCTGGATCTAAATGTTTCTGAGTTCTAACCATGGATTAACAAGATGGAGTGATAGCGGGAGAAACCTGGGGCTTTGCTGTGGCTCCCAAAAAAGCAAGCATGGGATTCAGAGCCACATCGTGGAAATGATTGAGGTATTTTATGCAATAGTCACTCTAAGTGAGTCAACAGAATGATGCAATGCTATGATGTAACTGCCTACCCCGACCCTGTCCCTGCAAGGAAAAAAAAAAAAAAAAAGAAAGTAAATGATGTTTTGATCTTGGTTTAAATTTTAAACTAGCAACATATAGAGCAAGGTTGGTGATGGTTATGTGTACTTGCAACTGCTCGGAGCATGGTAAACTTTTGCCATTGCTGCTGGGAAGCTCACTCTCATGTAGCCACAGACATGCCAGAGAGGGTGGCCAGAAGATCAAGGCTATCTGAAGATCAGTTTAGCTGCAATAGAACTAAAGACTCTGCAGTCGTTTTCTTGGAAGAAGAGCCTGCTGGGAGACAGGGCAGCCCACTTGAAGGGCCCTCACAGGAATTCAGCTCATGCCAGGTGGCATAGAATGGTGTCCTTGGCCAGAGTCATGGATGGAAGTCACATAGAGTTCAAGTTTAGCACCATTTAAGGAGGAGTTCTTTGGCCAGTAAGAACTTGACAGAATGGCAAGCACAGCTGGTGGACAAGCACAAGAAAGACAGCCCTTCTCCTTCCCAGGAGTGGACATGCTGGGAAGGACTCAAGCAATACGAGGTCAGGGTGGTTGATTTGAGTGACATTTGAAGATTCTCACAAACCTAAGATTCTGTGTTTGGGGCCAGAAGCTCTCCTCAAATAGAACACATCCTAGTATATGTAGAATTTCCAGTCTCTGAAGCCTGAGGAAGACACAGGGCCTGACATTTTATTTCCTCAAGCCTTTGAAAGCTTGTCTTAGTCTTTGGCAAGGAGAAAGGAGAGAATGAATGCTCATGGGGGAGATAATAGACATCAAGATGAACTTGAGAAAAACTTCAGTCTAGGCTCAGAGGTAGCCCCAGGGTCAGCACAGGGAAGGGGAGGCTTATGTGGCGTTGGCTTGACAGAATCACAGAGTAAAAGCAATCTTAGGAGCTTGTCTAGTCCATCTTCTTGCTTCTAAGCATCTTTCCCAGATGACTGCCTTTTAAAAATTGTGATAAATCTGTCTAGAATTGATTCACGAGTGAAGAACAAAGACTCTTGGATCAAGTTGCTGGAGTCAAACCTCATTTCTTCCCTTCGCATTGGCTTCCCCATTGGCAGGTCACTTAATTTCTGTAAACCTTAGTTTCTCATCTGTAGACTGGGGATAACAAGAGTGCCTACTTCAGACAGTATAAGAATTAATGAATTCACGTCAAAGCTGAGTGCTCAATAAATGTTAGCTATTGTTATTTTCATTTTGTTGGCACCTTTTTAAATTAGCTTAGGTACATGGCAGAACTTAGCTGTCAGTCAGCCCTATCTTGGCCTGGCATTTGAAATGGATTGGCCAAAGACAAGGACAAGAGCAATTTTTGTTCTTAATTTCGTAAGTTTAGTATGATAAGAAGGGATTAGACCTCCCAGAGAGTAATCAGTGATGAAAAGTAGAAGAACAGCCACACAGAACATCTGCTGGTCACAATTTCCTCGGCATCCACTGTGTGGAGAGTCCTACCTGAGGTGCTGTCATTACAAAGGACCAAGTCTGAGCCCTAGCTGGTTTTACTCAGTGGATAGAGCATCGGCCTGTGGACTGAAGGGTCTCAGGTTCAATTCCAGTCAAGGGCACATGCTTGAGTTGTGGGCTTGATCCCCAGTGGGGGGGCATGCAGAAGGCAGCCAATCAGTGATTCTCTCTCATCATTGACATTTCTATCTCTCTCTCCCTCTCCCTGCCTCTCTGAAATCAATAAAAATATATTTTTAAAAAGGCCAAAATATGAGGTGAAGGACTGGCTTGACAGAGCCTTCAGTTACTTGAAGGTGTTAGAGTCAAGAGTGGCAGAGTTGCAAGGCCATTCAGATCTTTGACCTATCTTCTCATTTTAAAGAAAAGAGAATAGAGACCCTGAAAGATAGGGAGACTTGATAAGATCATCTGTCAGAGTACAAAAGAGCAAGGAAATAGGCTTCCCCTGTGGTGAGAAAGATAAGAGAGCTCTATTATATAGAAGGAAGACTGACCCCACAGGATGACTAAATAAAAATCTAAGAGCCCAACATCATTGTCCCTCAAGGGCTGCAGAAATGATAGTGATGGTGATAATATCACCAAATATACCTAACACTGAGCAACGACCACATGCATGGTACTGTGTTACTTGCTATGTATATATGATTACCTCATCTTAATTCTCATACAACAATATTACAAAGTGGTTACAAAGAAAATCAGAGCTCAGATAGGGTACTCAACTTACCCAGTGCCTAGAGCTGGGAATAGCAGTGAGGACCATAGCGCCTACTTTGGACAGCCTCTTAGAGGCAGCCACCAGCAACAGAAGCTTGCTCTGTGAGTATATATTTTTAGAACATCCAACTCTCAGCAATAAGAAGTTGTATATTTTTTTATCAGTGAAGTATATTCATGTGGTCTTCCATATAGAGTGTGTGAAGACTATCATTATCAAAGGTAACCACCACAACCATCTTGGTTCTCATACAAAGTCTTTGGTAACATTGGTTCTGGTATTGCTTGCTTTTGTGCTACCGTAAACTTGCTGAAATCTTCACTTTTCATCAAGATAATGACATCGCAGTATTTCCTCTTGTACTTTTCTAGTAAGGTGCAATGAAATGCAGTGGCAGGAAATACTGTGGTTGGGTGTTGAACTTGGGCTTAAACACTGCGGAATAAATAACAGGGGTAACATAATGAAAGGTCCTGGTCCTTCTTTAGGTGACAAAGCAGTGCCTGGGGATGACAAATGAAACATTGCTTGGAGAACCTGACTTATGGCACTTCATGACAAATGTCTCCATTTGAACCCAAACTAAGAGCAAACCAGGGGCGCCCCATTTGGGACAACCCTCAGCTCCCAGAAGCAGTGTGCTGGCAGAAGAGAACATGGGAAGATGACTGCATGTGGAAGTACTGGCATGTTTTCGAACAGTTAGCATGCATCTGGCCCTAAATTAGAAGACACGCTTTTCCTCAGCACCTTCTGTTTTCAGAGCCAAGCGGAGGGCTGGCAGAATTGTGACAGGGTTGCTTCAGACCTCCCTCTACATCTCAAACCCTAGGTGGTTAGAGTAGCAGCTGCTCTTCAATTGCAGCAGGAAGTGAAGTAAGGCCGCCTTTACTTCTGTAAATCGCCAAGGAAACTTGTGAAAGGTACATTATGAACCCAAGATAAGTTAGTGAAGAAAATGTGAATGAATAATAGTAGACATACATTTACTGAACGGTTTTTATGTGAATGTGCGCCATAATGCATTGTCAGATATCATTTCCTCAGAAACCTTACGGTAGGCACTATTATGATGCCTCATTTTCCGAAGAGAAAACGAGGGAATTAGGAGAGGTTGAGTATCATGCTCAAAGACATGCACAGACACACACACACACACACACACACACACCTGAGCGACCTGGAGCTCAGTGCTGGTGCATCAGACACTAGTGGGTGCCCTGCTGCCCCTTCCCTTACACACCAGGCAAGGTTTCAAAGTGATCTATTCATGTGTTCTAATTCACTCCCCTTTCTTTTAAGGCTACAGTAAAAGAAGTAAATCAGTAAAATATTTCTGCATTTAACTCTACCATCTAGGCTTACCACTGATTCCTCTTTCCTCCCTCCTTAGTAAAACTGGAGGGCAAAAGAGTCCTTTCTCTTTTCTTTCTTTCTTTTTTCTTTTCCTTTTTTTTTTTTTTTTTTGGTTAATTCTCACCCAAGGATATTTTTTCCCCCATTGATTTTTAGAGAGACTGGAAGGGAGGGAAAGAAAGAGAGAGAACTATCCACTTGAGAGAGACACAGTCGATTGGTTGCCTCCTGCACGCACCCTGGTTGGGGCCGGGATCAAACCTGCCACCCAGGTATGTGCCCTTGACCAGAAATCAAACCCACAACACTTTGGTGCCTGGAGCTCTAACCACTGAGAAACACCTCCCAGTGCAGAAAAGTCTTTTAGTCCATCTGAACTCTTCTGTGATAGAAAGCTGCCCCAAATAAAAATAAAAGTAAAAACTAACCAGATTTGAAACCTGTTAGGAAAATATTTTGATGGTACATCAGAGTGACTTACTAGGAAAACCTATTCCTGACTTTTAGTGAAGCCACAGGCACGATGGCAGCCAGGGGAGCGCTGTCGCTGTTGCTGTCCGAGTCTGCTGGCCACTCCAGGGCAGCCCATTAAGCAAGTGCATCACCTCACTGGACCGCAGACAGCGCGGGCCTGAAAGTTCAGCAGTTCCTCATAATCGTCAAAGAGCAAATGGCCACATCGCAGCTGGAAATGGTTGCGCGAGGTATTTCAGGGTCAGGTTCGAGGGAGATTTACTGTTTAAAATCAATGAAACCAGAAGAAAAAAAAATCCACAAAACCTCACAAATCTTTATAATATCTTTATAGCTAGAAATAGCACATTCACAAAGCCAGCCCATGTCTGTGTGTTGAGGGAATTGGGTCTAGGAAGCTGTTTCAAATGTGGGGTGAGGGGCAGGGAAGAGAAAAGGGGACTAGGATTTACTGAGGCACTTCCCACCTTGTCTCATCCTCACAGTAACCGGGAGCCACCTTATTCCCGCCCACCCACGGTGAAGGGGCCGCTCTCCTAAAGCTCCTAAAGCGTAAGTGCTTGGTGCAAAGTCACACTGTCTGTTAGTGGCTAAACTAGAGATTGAGCGCTAGTATCTTTAATTCCCAAATCCAGCCTCTCTCCACAGTCTGGGCCTGGTCTCCGGGCGGTGATAGTGAATGAGGAGCCATGGGCACTGTTGGCTTTTACTCCTAGGGGTCTGGGTGCAGGGCAGCATCCAGGGGACTGGATAAGCCACATTCTGAAGCCGGCTCCCTCTGTCCTGTTACTCCCCACAACCTCCCCGCCCCCAGGCACAAATGAAATTGAGATGAGCCCTCCTTCCCCTGCGCTGTTTTGGTCAGAATTAAAAACAAGGAAACCCAGTCTGCCACTTGGACGCCAGGGGGCGCCTGGTGCTCACAAAATCCCTGGGATTTCCAAGAAGGGTCCTGCAGTTCCTCTTTATGTTACTGGAAGGGAACATAGTCTATCCCACTACCTCTAGGAAGTATCACTTCTAATGGATCAAAATCTACCATGTTTTCAACACACTCGTGTCTTTGTTCAATAGCTTTTCCTAATGGAGAAGTCTTCCTATTAGACCACCTGAATCCAATATGCCGCTAGCTCAGTGCTATGCGGGCCCATGTAAGAACAGATCCCTCTGTCTCAGAGAAAACCATCCTCTTCCCAGCCCCGCTGCTGCTGGTCTCAAGGATGAGCCAGTACGCTCTGGTCTAGCCCGTTTGGCTCAGGGGATAGAGCGTGGGCCTGAGGACTGAAGGATCCCAGGTTTGGTTCTGGCCAAGGACACATGCCCAGATTTCAGGCTCAATCCCCAGTGGGGGGCATGCAGGAGGCAGCCAATCAATGATTCTCTCTCATCATTGATGTTTCTATCTCTCCCTCTCCCTTCCTCTCTGAAATCAAATATTTATATTTAAAAAGGATAAGCCAGTATAATACAGATCACAAGCAATCAATGATAAATGTAACTTTTTAAAAAGGAGATAAAACATACT